AGCCCAACTGCATGTCTCTTCAGGTGACGCTTTCAGGTGAATTGAGATGTGGCTAAGGGGCAGAGCTCAAAGAGTTACGATAGCAGTGCAGAGTCTAAGTGGAGGTCAGTAGGTGTGATGGGTCAGCCCACGCTGACTTTTCACAGGTAGCCCTATTCAGGTGTTAACCACCAGTGACATGATCTGCTCCTGGTGCTTGCCGCCCTGATCTTTTCCCCATTCACCCAATAATTCCTGCTCTTCCCCCATTCACCCAATAATCAACAATAGTAACCCTGATGGCTGCATTCTGACAGGGATATACAGCATACACTGGTCCAAATTCGGTTGAAATGTAACAATGACCATAAGTCAAATATCCCATAAATATGGAGAGAACCTGAGACACCACCGAACTCTCCTAGCACAGCAGTGGACTGCACACCAGGTTCTCCCTGTGAGCAGGGACACCACTCAGGGACACACCTCRGGGTTAGGAGACCCTTGACACAACAGATCGGTGGTAAGTGACTATATCAGGCTCACTGTAAACTTTACAGACATAACCATGCCCAAAATTCTTTAGTCATAAACCGTTGACCAGATCTTGGACTCRTCTTGGATCCAGCTGCACCCAGACTCCTCTCAGAAGGACTTTGGAAAGCAAGGGAGTCCAATCTGAATCCCATGACTCAATGGGAGGGTCTCCTTGGTAATTCAGTGTATATCCCGTACCCCATGCAGCAAATAAGAAGTAACCTTGCAATAGCATCGTTAAACCACTGTCCACATCAATAAACCTACTACTGTTTCTTTCACATGAGTGAAGAGCATGGTGTCTTTCACCYCTATGGCCACTCATTCTGTGACAGTAGCTAGCAGTGTTCCCTGGGGATCAGTACCCGGTCTAGCTTTTGTTCAACTTCATCAGTGATCTGGATGAAGGGACAAGAGGCACTCAGGGCAAGTTTCCTGATGATTCAAAACAGGGAGGAGAGGCTGAAACAGCAAGAGAGCTGTGCTGCTATTCAGAGAGATCTGCACAGGCTGGAGAGATGAGCAGAGAGGAACCTCATGAAGTTCAACAAAGGGAGGGGCCTATGAGTGCCAAATGTCTGGAAAACAGCTCTGCATAAAGGGACCTGGGGGTCCTGGTGAACATGACCCAGCAATGTGCTCTTGTGAGCAAGGAGGCTGATGGTATCTTGAAGTGCATTAGGAAGAGTGTTGTCAGCAATTGGAGGGATTCTCCAAAATTACTTGATGCTGGTGAGGCCACCTCTGGGATAGTGTGTCCAGTTCTTGACTCCACCAGGATTAGAGGGACATTAGACTACTGGAGTAGGGCTACAAAGATGATGAAGGGACTGGAGCATCTCTCCTATGAGGAAAGTTTGGGAGAACTGGGCCTGTTCAGCCTGGAGAAGAGAAGACTGAGAGGGGATCTCATCAGCATGCACAATATCTTAAGGGTGGGTGTCAAGAGGATGGGGCCAGACTCTTTTCAGTGGTGTCCAGTGATAAGAGGAGAAGCTGTGGGCACAAACCAAAATAGAGGAAAC